CTTTCTCAAAGAACTCCAAAAGGTTGGTGAGGCAGGACTTCCCTTTGCAGATGCCATGCTGATTTTCCATCAGCAAGGTTTGTTGCTCTGTGCGCCTAATAATTCTATCTTTGATTATAGTTTCTTCTAATTTGCCAGAGAGAGATGTTGGGCTAACTGGCCTGCAGTGTTGCCTCTAAGCTGAGTTAGTGTGAGCTAGCTCACAGTTTCTTAGCCTCTGGCTCACACATTTTTGTCTTCGCTCAGGAAGGCTGGCTCCAGAGCAAACTAATTTATGCAGTAGCCAAGTCGCTCACTCACAATTTTAATCCCAGTAGCTCACAAAGCAGAATTTTTGCTCACAAGACTCCACAGTTTAGACAGAGCATTGCTGGCCTGTAATTCTCTGTTTCCCCTCCAGGCCCCTTTAAAAAACAGTTTTTGTTCCAGGTTCTGTTTCATGGTTGTTTCTGTGGCCTCCATTACATTGCCTTCCTTCGTTGAGGGCTGACTCACTTCTTTCTGCAGAAGAATTCTCCAGTCATTCTCTCCACATACAGAGGACAGAGGTTTTGTACTATAGTCCGCCAGACATACACCCCGTCCCCATCCTACCAAATGGAAAGTTACCAGCAAGCTCCCAGTAGGTTCTCTGCAGTCTTCACTGATTATACACAGTTCCTGGTTCCCCAGGAAACAGGCCCATCTGTCTCTCATTTGTTTTTTGCCATCAGATCGCAGCTGACTTATGGTGACCCTTTAGGGTTTTTAAGGCAAGAGAGTTCAGCGTTCTCTGTGTAGCTGCCCTAGATTTCTTTGGTGGCCTCCCAGCCAAGTACTAACCAGGGATGGCCCTGCTTAGCTTCCAAGGTGGTACAAGATCAGGCTAGTTGTGCTATCCAGGTGAAGGCACCCTGAACCTTACAGAACTAAAATTTAACATTTATCTAGAAAGGCTGTCATTAAAAAAAAAAAAAATTATTTAGGTGAGGTGTCATTTCACCACAGGCACAATGTATTTGAAAACACTCATGAGAAAAGATGCCAGTTATCCTGCACTGGAGATGAGTTTGGAAGAGAATGTGAGATGCCTTTTTAAAAAACAACTGAACTACAAAATGCTACCAAACTATGACACTGCTCCGACAACTAACAATTTCCCAGGCTGCATCCCTGAGCATAGGGTCTAAGCCTCGGGAGGCCTGGAAACCCATGTATTGACCCATGGGATGCTAAAAAGAGGCATTTCCCCCCCATAATTATTTCAGAAGAGCAGGGGCTAGTAGCACATAAGTTTTTATGTTTTTACGTAAAGTTATTTGGAGAGAGTGGGGTCCCTGACTGGGTGTACAGTAAATCCATAGTGGTTTTCCTGAATTTTCATTTATGTGCCTGTTTTTAATGCAAGAGCTATCTGTCGGTAGTGGTACTCTAATTCAGAGTCCATTTGGCAAGGAGTTTATTCCTATAGAAATGAGGATACCTGAATATATTTGAGTTAGGGGGGCACTTGGGAAGCATTCTGGTCTTTTTTTGAGCTATTCTCTCATTTTCACTTGCCTCTTGAGTTCCCATGAAAATGTAGCACCAGGAAGATTAAATGTGTAGGGCTATCAAGCATTATTGGCAATTGTGACCACCAGGGACTTTCTTTTGCTACAGCAGAAGCTAACCAAACATATGTTTAAAGTCTCCATTGTGGCACATTTGAGTTACTGTTTGCTCTGGATAATTTAAGTAGGCAAAAGTAGAGAAAAGTGTCTTAGTGAGGGATATGTAACTAATGTTGTTGGGGCGAGGAGAAGCACTTGAACCTAAATCAGTAGCTCGGATTAATGTTTTCCTAGAGAGCTTTGAAGATGTAAAGTGCTGTATAAGAGCTATGCGCTAGATCGCCTTTCATCAGGTGAAATTGAACTCATCGACGGAAATCTTTGGAAACCGAAAATCTTTCTCTGAAATGCCCCAAGAGTTTAAATACGCTTCTGATTTTTGTAACGGAGCTGCAGAGGTTTGGAATAGTCTGCTGAGGTTTCGCCTAGTATTTATAATGACGCACCAGTGTCAGAGAAATTTGTACAGCTTTTTAGTAACATGAATAGTAGAAAACGTTTATTACCAAAAAAATGATTATACTTCAGATTTAGAACAAGGTAAAATCTTAAACATGGTAAGTATGACCAGGAAGCTGCAGATTTTCAAAGGAATTCATGAGCATTCTTTCCCCTGCAGTACCTTTGTGCAAAGATGGAATAAGAGAACTGGAGGACTGGTCCATATATTTTCAGCTGTTAGTCCCTGCATATCTATCTGTCTAGTCCATTTTTATCCTGTCTTTCATTTCAGATAGTTCTCCAAATCCCATTTTACCTTCATAACATCCCTGTAAGGTGGGTTTGAATGAATGTGTGTGACCGGCCCAAGATCACCCAGTAAGTTTCAGGGCAGTGTGAGGATTTGAACCCTGATCTTGTGGATACTAGTTAGACATTCTAACCAATGCACTACAATGACTTGTAGAAGCAGATGGGATGCAGAGATCTGCTGGGGGCACCTCCCCTCCATCTGTACCAATATTAACAAACAAACAAACAAAAGTCTCTAGATTTACTGCAGTGTAGTTCTTCCTCTTTCAGTTCTCTTGTCCTTCCTTCCATTTGGGAAGAAAGAACACAACGAGCTCCCGGAGGAGATCCGGGCCCTGCGGGACCTTGTGCAGTTCCGCAGGGCCTGTAAGACGGAGCTCTTCCACCAGGCGTATGAGTAGGAGCCGCCACTACCATCACCATTATTCCATCTTCACCTGGCCCTGGATGAGGGAACATCAGTGCTTCCCTGGAGCAGACGATGCTGAACAGTTGAAATATGCCATCTTTGAAATTTCATGTTGAACACCTTGAGCACTTTAGTCAATAACTTGTTAAGAATGTTTTTGTACTATATGTTTTTATACTGTTGGGATTTTAAATGGTTTTAATTATGTTTTATATTGGCGTTTGCCCCTATGTAAGCCGCCCTGAGCCCGCATTGCGGGGAGGGCGGGGTATAAATTGAATTAAATAAATAAATAAATAAATAAATAAATTTGCACCTTTTCTCAATGCGCTGTTTTATAAGGAAGAGGCTGCCAGCATGCATTTCCTATCTCCATTATTCAGTAGACACTCTCAGTCTTTGGGAAGGGGAGGGATTCTAGTGGATGAAACTGGGGTACCGCAGGGATCAGTACTTGGTCCACTGCTTTTTAACTTGTTCATTAATGATTTGGAGATGGGAGTAAGCAGTGAAGTGGCTAAATTTGCGGATGATACAAAGTTGTTCAGGGTGGTGAAAACCAGTGAGGATTGTGAGGCACTCCAAGAGGATCTGTCAAGGATGGGCGAGTGGGCATCAACATGGCAAATGGGGTTCAATGTGGCCAAGTGCAAGGTGATGCACATTGGAGCCAAAAATCCTAAATATAAATACACATTGATGGGGTCTGAACTGGCAGAGACTGAGCAAGAGAGAGATCTTGGAGTTGTAGTGGATAACTCACTGAAAATGTCGAGACAGTGTGTGACTGCAATAAAGAAGGCCAATGCTATGCTGGGGATTATTAGGAAGGGTATTGAAAACAGAACAGCCAATATAATAATGCCCCTATATAAATCAATGGTGAGACCTCATTTGGAATACTGTGTGCAGTTCTGGGCACCACACCTTAAAAAGGATATTATAGCTTTGGAAAAAGTGCAGAAAAGGGCAACTCGAATGATAAAAGGGTTGGAACACTTTCCCTATGAGGAAAGGTTAAAGCGCTTAGGGCTCTTTAGCTTGGAGAAAAGACGACTGAAGGGTGACATGATGGAGGTTTATAAGATTATGCATGGGAAAGAGCAGGTAAAGAAAGAGGTACTTTTCTCCCTTTCTCACAATACAAGAACTCGTGGGCACTCCATGAAACTGCAGAGCGGTCGGGTTAGAACGGATAAAAGGAAGTACTTCTTCACCCAAAGAGTGATTAACACATGGAATTCACTGCCACAGGAAGTGGTGGGTGCTACAAGCATGGACGGCTTCAAAAGGGAATTAGATAAGCATATGGAGCAGAGGTCCATCAGTGGCTATTAGCCACAAGGTATAGCTAGGGGCTCTGGGGCAAGTGATGCTCTGTCTTCTTGGTGCTTGGGGGGGGGGTCAACAGTGGGAGGGCTTCTAATGTCCTGGCCCCACTGCTGGACCTCCTGATGGCACTGGTATTTTTGGCCACTGTGTGACACAGAGTGTTGGACTGGATGGGCCTTTGGCCTGATCCAACATTGGCGTCTCTTATGTTCTTATGTTCTTAAGTAACAAAAGGGGTACTTTCAAATAATCAAGAAAGTTGGGCTATGAATTGTAGAAAAAGCGGGGGGGGGAAGGCCAATTGCAGGTGTTCGCAATATGAATTGTTAAGAATATACTGGCTGTATGTGCTTTACATAGCTAGCACCCGATTAGTAAAACATATGGCAAATGAAAATTGCTGGGGTTTTTTATGATATCTGGAGAATATCCTGGTGGTCGAAAGTGTTCTCAAGTCACTTTCTCAAGTGAATTATGGATTTCAAGGCATAGGGTTTTCAAGGCAAGAGATGCTCAGAGGTGGTTTGCCATTGCCTCCTGATCCTGGTATTCCTTGGAGGTCCCCGATCCAAATACTAGTCAGGGCCGGTGCTGTTTAGCTTCTGAGATCTGATGAGATCGGGTGAGCCTGGGCTATCCAGGTCAGGGCGGAGAATATCTTACACCTGAGAATATTTCTAAAGCATCTTATGAAATATACTAAATATCTAAATGTTCATGGGCCAGACCCTTTTACCGTAATTTGTGGTGTACGCGCAGATGAAGATGGTAAAAGACTTTGGAAGGTTCATTCCAGTGCAGCTCATTCAAAACTCGCAAGATTAAAAAAAAGTTTTTAAAGTTTCAGACATTATTACTGACTTGTACATGTATTAAGTCTTTAAATGAAAGCCTATGCAACTGTATTTCTGCAGAAACCACGCAAATAGAAGATCCAAGAAAACAATGGAGGCAAGAGCAAGAGAAAATGCTAAAAGATTATCTCACAGTAGCACAAGATGCCCTAAGCACTCAAAAAGAACTGTATCATGTGAAAGAACAGAGACTGGCACTTGCTTTGGATGAGTACGTGAGGTTGAATGATGCCTACAAGGAAAAGTCAAGCTCTCATACAAGCTGTAAGTATAATGTGCTGCATCTTCTATTTTAGTGAGTCTCATTTACCATCATCAGCTCAAGAATCAGTGACTAAGGCTGCAGTCGCATACACTAAATAATCCACTTTCAATGCACTTTCCAACTGGATTTTGCCCGTTCACACAAGTAAAATCCGGTTGCAAAGTGCACTGAAAGTGGATTGAAAGTGGATTATTTAGTATGTGTGACCGCAGCTTAAGATGGTTTCCTCCTGATTCTGTGGGCTGCCGCAGTTGGCTCTAGAATCTGGTTGCTCATCTGGAGTGCCAAAAAAAGGGTAAGTCAAGGGCTCTCTGCATACTGGCCCATGAAAGTACAACTTTACATGAGAAAAAGCAGCCCCGTAGCTAGGGAATTCTTTTAGAGGGGGCCTCGGGGGGGCCCACCAGCTAATTAAATGAAAGTACAGTGCAGGTGGTAAGCTGGAGCACTTTGGGGTCAGCCCAGGAAGGAGGGGGCCCAGAAGAAACACTAGGGGGGCAGGCCCCTTGGGCCCCATGTTAGCTACAGGCCAGAGAAGAAGGGGTCTGTTTGTACCCTTACACATCTAATGTGGGCTTCCAGGCTAGGGTCTGGTTGGCATCACTCCATGCTCATAGCTGGAGCCAGTTTGAGAATATCCAGCACTGGCATTTACAACTAAACCAATATTTAATCTTCTGCAATGTGGTCTGACTTGTCTGGCAGTAGGTCTGGGAAACAGGCTTCTTGTTTCTTGGACAGAAGGTAGCAGGGATCAGTCTTGCACCACCAGGTGACAAATTGTGCACTCTTCTTTTTTTTATCGAGGAGACAGAGGTTTCATGCAGACTGTGCTGTGGGGTCTGATCTGCACATTAGATGCAAGAAGATGTAAGGGAGCAGAAAGTGAGGCGATGGCGACTGGAAGGGATGGAGTCTAGTCCTTTTTCCCTTGCAAGATTAAAGAGCTCAGGGTGGTTTTCTCTCCCCCACCTCCATTTTGCCCTCAAAATAACCTGCTGGGTTAGGTTAAGCTGAGAATATTTGATTAGCCCAAAATCATCCGTTGAGCTTCATAGCAAAGTAGGGATGTGAACCCAAATCACCCATGTTCTGGTCCTACACTATTTTGGTTAAAATGGAATGGTGTGATAATTCAGAACAGTGAAGGGAGAGGCATAGTATCTGCTTTACTCAGAGGCAGAGTGCCTGTTTTGCATGCATAAGGTCCCAGGTTCAAATGGTGGTGACATCTGAGGTGTAAGATGTTTGGGGGGGGGGGTCTCTGCCTGAGAGTGGCTGCCAATCTGTTTGAGGATAAGTAATGGCAGGAGCTGCAGTTCCTCTGAAGGGAGGGGGGATCTTTCCAGCGAAACACTTCTAGAGAGCAGAGTGTTTCAACTTGCAGCAAGGAGTCCAACAAAAAGTAGATGTTTCACTCCCTCCCTCCTTTTGCCTCCAGCTCCACATTGAACCATGTGGGGGGGGCATGCAGCAGCCCCCAGCAACGGGAACTGGCATTGCTAGTGCAGAGAACCCATTTTTGCAAAGTCCCCCCCCCAGAAATCTTCCCCTGCTTTCCCCCAAAAAGTGAATCAAAGAAAGAAAAAAGAAAGAAAGATTTAAGACCAATCATGGTGCTGATTGCCTCCCTGCACCAGGTGTACCCGGCAGAGGCAAGCTCAGAGCTTTGGCCATTTGACAGAATGCAGAGAGCTTTTTGGCTTTTGTCCCAGTACTTGCAAACATGAAAGTCTTTGGGGAAGTCTTGAGAAAAAGCCCCGTTCAAAGCACACGCAGCGCCCACGTAATTTCCCTTTTGTTGCAAGCACAACAAAGGACTCCCCGTGAGGACGCAGAAGGGGGTAGGCAGAGGAGTCTCCTCCAAGGGAGGCGGGGAAGGGGTAGGGGGCGGAAATCCAAGGAAATATTTCTGCATTCGAATTACTCCAATGTGGAAGCAGGGCCAGGGTAAAACAGCATTCAGAAAAGCCGGGGAAACAGTGTACCAAAACCGAACTGAGAGCTGAGCCATGCAGAATTAAAAAATAAACTGAAGGAAATGCAGGGCGAAAGCAGGAGGCAATGCAGAACAACAAATATACTGTGGAGTGGAGCTACTGCAGGAGCAGGAGAACGTCCCATGCAGAAAGGGCCTTAGTTTCCTAGATATTTATCCCCTGAGTGACCAATGGGAATTCATTGTGAAAGACCAAGAGGG